TTTTCCTTAAAAAAAAAAAAAAAAAAAAATCTGCATGTGGGGAACTCAATTTTTTTTTTTATCCACCTCATATCCCTTGCATTACATTTACTTACATACTACTACCACTGGGAAAGGTATGAATCCATCTCTACTCCACCCAGCTATGGGTGAATAGCAGAACAGACCGAGTCCTATAGCCTTGGGTGGCAACCAGTCTAAGAGAAGGACAACTCATTTCAAAACCTGAGGAGGGTCCAACACCAGCTATGGGTAAATAGCAAGAAAGACTAGGTCCTACCTATAGCCTTAGTTGGCCACCAGTTTAGAAGAAAAACTGAATTCAAACCAGCCTGGAGAGAGTTATCATGCCAAGGAAACACCATGGCTACAGTGTGTGATGCCCCTTTGACACTAATGGGTTACGAGATTCATGATCTCTAGCATATAGATTTGGAACTGGAGTTGACACTATAAAAATCTGGGATCATGGGTTATTTGGGGAGTCATTATGACTGGAGGAGAGTTAAGTTTCTTTGAGTAAGTTAGTATATTACTTGTATTCTACATGCTTGAAGACTTAATTTTTCAGGTTGAGAACTTCCAAAATAAAAAAAAGTTAAATTCTTAGCATTAGGAATAACAAGGAAATATTCAATCAGAAAGAGAATGAGAGAGATAGAGCACAAGAGAGTTGGAATTTCTGGGACAGATGATGAGGAAAGAGTGTCTAGAGAATTTATCACTCACATGACATACTGAAGGCTAGATAAGCAGGGAAAACAGCTAAAATCCTACTTAATGAATTTATGTGAATGGAGGACAGAACAAGGATGGTAAACAGGTATTCATAATGAGGAAAGAGGGCAAAGAAAATTTAACACTCACAGAACATATCGAAAGCAAGAGAAACAGAGGAAACTATCAACCACCTATTGAATGAATGTGTGTGAATGGAGAAGAGAACAAGGATAAAGAGGGATGGAAAAGGAGTAGGCATAATGAGAAAAGAGGGCGTTGAGAATCTAACAATCAGAGGCAAGAGGAGCAGTGGAATCGTTAATAACCTACGTACACCTGATAATTGATGCAATCAAGCTAAGCAAAGCAAAGACCTACCTGAATGGTGGGGGTAGAACGTGTAGGAAGCCATGGGGTAAATCTATCCAAGAATAGAAAGATGGTAAATGGACACACATAGAAAGAGGGCCTAGAGAATTTAACACACTCAGAGCATACTGGAGGCTAGAGAAGCACAGGAAACAGAACAATCTACTTAACGAGTGTGTGAATGGAGGACAGAGCAAGGATGAAGAGCAATGGTAAATGGGCACACATGAGGGCCTAGAGAATTTAACACTCAAAGGCAAGAGAAGCAGTGGAAACCGCTACTAACCTACATAAGTTTATGAAAATGGATAACAGAGCAAGGACAAAAGAGATGGTATAGAGTTAAAAGTTAAGAGCATCCTTAGCAAATAAAGAGTTTTACTGTTTTTATCTGAAAATTGTTTACTAATAACTTTGACACTGCCTAATATTCTGATCATTCTCATACAGTTTCAAATGCTGTTTTTTTTTCTCTCCACAAAATGGAATCCTAGTTAACCTCCTGCCAGTACACCTGAGAATTGATGCAATCAAGCTAAGCAAAGACCTACCTGAATGGGAGAAAAAAGTATGTGCAGAAAGCCATGGGGTTAGACTGTCCAAGAATAGATGCACTGCCATAAGAAAAAAAGAATGAACAAAATTATAATTTTTTTTAGAGAATGTCAAAGCAAAGCAAGAAAAAGTTAAATTTCCTTGAGCACACACAAAGAAATCAAGATAGCAATTTTAAAAAAGTTCAAGCACAAAAAAATTATAAAATACACAAGCAAAACAAAAAAAAAATTCAAAGCTTATGTCACAAAACATTTTTATAATCAAGCACCCACATAATTGGCCAAATCCTTTTCCTATCATGTCCCAATTAAAAAGAATCTGCCATATTTACAAAGACTAAAAACCTGATTCAAAATCTTTGGGAACATGCTCTGATGAGCTTTTTTTTTCCCCTTGGTGCCCAGATTACGTGAATTTAGGCATGCTACTCGATTGACATCTAACTCACACCCCTTTTACTGTTGAAATAGTTAAATGTAACAGACACTTCTACTCCAACTGTTTTTCTTGCACTTCCCACCTGTGGAGCTCCCTTCCATTTACTTGCTTCCCTGATAACTACAGTCTTCAAAGATTTAAATGCAACGTCAATTGCCATCTTTTATCCTCTTGTATCCCGTTCATCTTTTATCCTTTCCTCAATCCCTTATACCCAGTCGTCTTTTTTCTCACTTACACTCTCTGTAACCCCATACATGCTAGTGACATTCTTGCCTTGCTTCGGGGTGAAATGATTTAAAAAAAAAAAAAAATTTACACAGCAGAACCTCTGTTACCCAACGATCCAGTTATCGTTCACTTTTATCAGCAGAAATGGGTTTTCAGAAATATCCCCCCCCCTCGGTTATCAAACAAGAAAATTCGTCCATTACAAACCTGTACATTCCCGTTCGGTTGCTGCCAGCCAAAAAAAAGACAGAAATATAACCCCAAGGAGAGAAAAAAAAAAAAAAAAAAAAAAAAAAAAGGCTCATCTGAAGTCTTTATGGAGATGGTATTCCCTTCCAAACAATGACACCCCTATTATACGTGAGGAATTACGGTATTCTGTATAAAATTTTATACAGAAGTCCCTCGATTAGTGCCGCTAATTTGGCCATTGGTAACTATAAAAAAAAAAAAAAAAAAAAAATCAATTTTCATTAACTATGGTTAAACTTAAGAATAATTGATTATTATGCATACACTTCCCTATATATTCGCGGATAGGTCGCCCCCCCCCTCTCCACTTTATGGCTTAATAATGGATGATTTACTGTTGACTCGCAGATTGCACGCACCATGATCTGGGGAGTTACACCTCATTTTAAATATAAGAATTATCAGATATCTCCCGCTATTTCTACTTTTATTTCAAAACTTACAATTAATACACTTTTGCCATTAAAATACATTTCGTCAATCATGTAAACAAAAGGAAGTAACTGTTGTATCGGTATTTTTATATTTAGCGCATATTATTTTTATCGACTAAAAAAAAAAAAAAAAAAACACTAAAAGAAAACGTTATGGCACATTTAGAAAAAAAGTGTTTATCTATTTATATATCAAGTTATAGTTTTAAAATTCATTCTGAACTGAATCCACAGTTTTAGCGTTTATGGGTCTCATTTCTGATTTCTCAGAAATCATGATGACAAGTTAGTGTTGTTTTACATTTATGTCGAGCGGATAGGTTCGCACACCTAATATTTTGTGAAATTTTTAGTAAAAAAAGTGCGACCTATCTGCGAGGTATATACGGTAATTGAATTTTGGTATATGAAAAATTTAGCGCACTAATCAAAAACGCATTAATCGAATTTCCTTTAATGACTTTTTTTCAGTTCTACTATTTAACCTGTAATGTCTATATATAATCTTTTTTTGTTTTTGTTAATATTTTTTTGGTGTATCAAAGATTAATTGGATTTACATTATTTCATATTGGAATATTACCTCAGTTTTCGTTCGACTTTCTGGAACGGATTATGGCCGATAACCAAGGTTCCACTGTATTATGGCGATTTAAGCCGCAAATAAATACAGGAAGAACACGGAACACAAATTGAAAGTTAAAAGGAATATTATTGAAGTTCATATATACAAATACTATAGAAATAATAGTTCTTGTTTCAAACATATTGTTCTGTTTGCGGCTATAATGAAACAATATAAGTCAACTTAACTGAAGTCCTTGGTATTTGCAGAATGTTTCATTTACGTACTAATATAGTGCGGCTCATGACAAATTGCAGATAGAATCAGAGACGATTTTGACGTCTCCTGCCTGGCAGATCTGGACAGTAAAGAGGAAGAGTAAAAGAACAGAATAGCGTTCTTTATAATTGACGCCAACAAATTCTGGCTAGTGATTGGTTGGTTTGACAATATACGTGATTCTTAGAGAGAATCCAAGGGCGACAACTTACTTACGTAACATTGTTCTTATAGTATCCATAAAAATCATTTTTGAATAACATTTATTCTTTATGCTATTAATCTCCATTACTTCTTATCTTTCGTTGCTCTAAAGAATTCGTCCCTTTACTGCTCTTTGAGATCCTTGTTCTGTTATCCACTTATTGAAAGTCACCTGCAAGCTATGGGTAAATGCCATTTTAGCATTCTACTACCACTTTCTATTAGTGTCAATTTTTGTGCAAAAAGTGGATCACAGAGCCTTGATATTTTTTTCACTTCTCCTTGGTCAGTTAATATTTAAATCATGTTCTCGCCTACGTGCGAATAACATTGACCTAGTTCCTGACCTAACAAAAAAAACAAAAAAACAAAAAAAACATCCCACCCAAATACTATCTATGCCTTTCGGAGCCTATCACGTGACTACGTTTATTATAAATACCAGACAAGTTCTTTCTTTTTGATTTCTCTTGCTTACTAAAATGTAGCTGTTTAAGAAATCGCGTTCCGACCTCTTTCGGGCAGACGCTATGAAAACATCACACAAACATTATATATATATATATATATATATATATACATACATATACACACACACACACACACACACACACACACACACACACGTACGGAAACTTAATTACAAACATTACAAGCATCAATATATTACGAATATTCAACTACAAGCAACGGAAACTAAACATCACAGAAAATTCACTCCAACTCTTCTGAAGCTAAAAGTTTATCAACATATTCTCACCTTTACAGAATTCTTTCAACTCTCACAGTGAACATTTTGAGTGGCAAGTTCATTCAACTTTCTATGAGCTCGGATAAAAACATATTTCCTTTAGTAAAGACTAATTTCACTCAAAGGGAAGTAACTCCTATTATTATGCTTGTATATCATTACATTCATAAATATAAATGTTCTTGTTATAAAAACCGTCTTGTGTTTCTTCTTGTTTCATATTTTGTGGTATTTTGCATAAATATAAATTCTAGAGGTCATACCAACTACTGACCTCTACACCATCAGCTATGGGTATATAGCAGGACAAACAGGGTTCTATAGCCTTGGATGGCAACTGGTCTACCATAGAAAGAAATGGCAACTTACCGCAGGAAAAAATCTGCCTCGTCAGTCATGTATCAAAAGATACATGATCGCTTAAGCATGTATCACGCATGGCACATAACTGAAATATTCTATTTACCCTGAGAGCTTTAAATTCACAAACTTTCTTTTCTCAGTTTAGCGGATGTGTAGGTAATGTGACAGGTAGCGGCTCAGATTGAGAAGTTGCAGAGCCAAGATAATATTCCAGTTGCATTCATTACATTCACTTACATGCAAGTACCCATGGAAAGCTATTAATCCATTTCCTCCCCCTAGCTACTGGTTAAATAGTAGAAGTGGAAAAATCATTGTTAATGCAATATTCAAATGTTTTGCGTTAACCAAGTCTAAAGTTATTCTACATTTCCACTGCTTCTATATGCCGTGTCCCTTCAGGACGTGGGCGGTCATGGCTCTTCACAATTTCCTGCCCTTTTTAACTTAATAAAGGGTCTTTTTGCTATCTCTCCCAATCCATGTCCTGCCAACCATTTGCACAAGCCCATTAAGTTTGTTTTGTCTTCAATGTCTTGTGAGTGTCAATTTTTCTAAGCCCTTTTTCCTCATTATGTGCCCTATAAACTTCAATTATCTCTTTCTGACTCTAAAAGTGTTCTTTTCATTTCCATTCTTGATCTGTGAGGAGATTGTCCAGCATTCACTGCCATATAGGAAGACTGATAGCACATAACAGTTCTATACCCTTTTGTTTCTAATGGATTTTTTCTGTTTCTTAATACTTTGCTCCTCATTTTGAACCATGGTATTCTAAGCATCTTTCTGCACATCCATAATTCCTGTTGGCTCAAATCTCCTCTTCATCTGTGAGAAGATTGTCCATCATTCACAGCCATTACAGGATTGATATCAAGTAACAAGCCAGTTCTTTTTTTCTTTGTTTATAAATTAAGAGGCTTGAGGCGAAAAGAAAAGAGAAAAAAGAAAAGAGAAAAGAGAAAAGAGAAAAGAGAAAAGAGAAAAGAGAAAAGAGAAAAAAGAAAAGAGAAAAAAGAAAAGAGAAAAAAGAAAAGAGAAAAGAGAAAAGAGAAAAAGAGAAAAGAGAAAAAGAGAAAAGAGAAAAAGAAAAGAAAAAAGAGAAAAAGAAAAGAGTAATCTCATATTTAACATCAGGATAACAGTTAAAATTTCTAAGACACATAATGAGGAAAGAGGACTTAGAAAATGTGATACTCACAAGACAGGTTGAAGCCAATAGGAACAGAGAAAAAATACAACTTACCTAGCAGGCTTGAGATTAGGTGTGAGAGAGATAACAAAAAGACAAAATTAATAAATTTTGTCTTTTTGTTATCTCTCCCAGATAGACAACCTCTCAAACTTCATAATATTTATTCCCAGAAAATTAAACACTTTGTTTTCTCCTTTTCCAAGGGAGAAAGTTCATATCAAATTCAAAACTTGCTAATTTACATCTTTACATATTCTGACCAAATTCTGGAGAACCAATTTAGATATTTTTTATTATAAAGCTACCAAATTAAGGAAACAGAACTTCAAAGTAGACACATTCTAAAAGGTTACCCTTCCAGGAATTATCCTGAAAAATTATACAAATTAGGTTACTATAGCTCATTAAATATTAAAAATTGCTGTCAATAACTTTATGAAAACCAGAATTTACAAATTTGGAGAAGTTTTATCTTAAGACATTAACACCCAAGCCTCATTTCTCTTGTTGTCCAAGGGTCCCAACATTATATTTTAATTTTTCTACAAGTGACTGTTTTGACATTGTTTCATGTATAAAACAAGGATATCATATCATAGGTAGTATTTATCACTTCCAACCCAACAGTGTGCAGTTTGCTACCAGAGTCCATTGTACAACCCAGAGTACCGTACAAATAAATGGCACAGCTCTGTATGTAAAAATAAAATAAAAAATTACCCCAAAAAGGAAAGTAAAAGACAAAAATTAAAAAATATTTAGATTTATAAAAAAAAAAAAAAAAAATATTCTGGTGTACATAGCTTTCCTACTGCCAATAATCCTCATAGAAAAGAAATTGGAAAGTGACCTACCAGAGAGGTCATGTAAGCAAGACAAAGTTTTGAAAAAAAGAGAAAAAAAAAAAAAAAAAAGAAAAAAAGAGAAAGAGAAAAAAAAAGAGAAAGAGAAAAAAAAAGAGAAAGAGAAAAAAAAAGAGAAAGAGAAAAAAAAAGAGAAAGAGAAAAAAAAAGAGAAAAAAGAGAAAAAAGAGAAAAAAAGAGAAAAGAGAAAAGAAATAGAAAAGAAAAAGAAAAAATAGAAAAGAAATAGAAAAGAAAAAGAAAAAATAGAAAAGAAAAAGAAAAAAAAGGAATCTCAT